TCCTTTATCCATGCTTACTTTTCCCTTACTTTTTGCTTATGTCAGAAATAAATCTCTCGAATGCAAACTGTGGCTGCTGCTAAAAATTAAGTCGTCCCATAAGCTATTATAAGAAAAACTTTAGGTCTATAATAGATAAAACATATCTATATCTATATCTAATATAATACCTAGTCTAAGTGTCTCTCTACTTACAAGGTGTAATGCATGGGGTCCAAGATCTTTGTTATGGACTTGAAGTGAGAGTAGACAAAACTGACAATATGCACATTCTCCTCATAGAGCATTGCGTGGGCCATGGCTATTACTATAGGCAGAGGAGGAGCACTGTCTAGGAGGACAATGGAAGCCATTATTCGGACAGCCTCACAACGTGAAACATCCATAAAGATCTGAAGAAGAAAACCTTGAACCTAGAGGAAGGAAGAAACAAATGAATTTGGAGCTCAGCTAATAGACATAAAAACAATCAGTGGGAATATTGCTAATGATTTTTGTAAGGATGTGCTTTCTGTGACTTATAGGATGGCCAAATAACCCCAAATATGGCTCCTATGATTCTATTGTGGTTGAGCCTTTGAGTGGAGAATTCCTTTGTGGTCTGCTTTTCTTTGGTATACAGTGACTAACTACTTTCTCTCTTTTTTTCTATCTATGGATCCCATTTAAGCTACCACCAATTCCAGAAATTGCTGTAAAGATTCTTCTGCAATGTGATTTCGGCAATCATTTGACAGAAGCTCAAACATTCACCTGGGTTACAAAGTTTGTGCAATTACCTGAAAGCAAATCAAGGCTTTATGCTTTTTACCTACTCTTAAAAAGACATGTCTTCGGCCACTTACCTTTGTAGGATCCTGCTGGCTGATTTGCCCCAGGGTCTGAACTGCAGTGACCTGGATGCGTTCAGGATATTTAGGAGACTCACACAGAAGTTTCACTTGTTTCAGGCTGATGATCTGACCTGCATTGGCAATAGCTTTCAGAGCTAATACAATCTTGTTTTCTTCTTTTTCCCGAATTGCCTCAACTAGGAGGTTGTGGAGAGGCTATAAAAAATAAATAAAGAAATAAGCAAACAAACAGGTTATGGGTCTGTGCACTCATATGCATGTATTTTAACCTCTGTATCCAAATAGTCTGTGTTGCTTTCTGCCAGGATGCATGTGTACTCTAAAAACCCGTGTTCTTTTGTTTCAATATCTATATATATATCAAGATCTAGCTCTAGACCGGCATTGGCAATAGCTATAATATAGATCTAGATCTATAGATAGAATTAGCCACATACCTCAAGCAATTTAGGATGACAAGTTCGAGAAGTGGAACATTGCTTGTTCACCATACTCCCATATGCCAGATAAGCCATTTTTCCAAGGATAGATGTTTTGTCGGGGATTTTGGCAAGTATTTCCTGTTGGGAAGAAAAGAAAATTGTTCTTATTGTTTAGGAGAACATTATAATCTAGGGTCATTAAGCTTCCTATGTAGATTTTGAAAAACATTTTATACTGCCATAAAAACAATGATGTAACATATACTCACTGCTGTCACTCTAGCAGTTTCCTCCATTCTGTTAATATCAGTGTTGGCAAAATGGAAGGTTGTGGGAAGAAGCCAAATCATATCATAATATGTCAGTTCTCCACTGACTACTTTGTCCTTGATGAACTTCACTGTGATCAAATTACCCACATGGCCACATGAAATCAATAGGACTCTTCTGCAATGAATAGAAGAACACATTCTTTAAAATATCATGAATTCTCCACTAATGGTGAAATGGTTTCTGGTTGATTTTTCCATGAATCTTAATATAATTCCTCTGGAAGAACAAGATTTGAGGTTTCAGGAGATTAAAGTAAAAGCTAGTATGCAATATACAAGTCAGCCAACATACCTAGCAACAGGAAGTCTTGAAAACTTATTGTAGAGAGTATTCAGATCGTTATATGATACACGTTGTATGAGTCGGACCAACACTATAATCTTGGTGGAAACTATTTTATCCTGGAATTGCCAACGCACTGAGTCTTGCAAGAGTTCCTCAGCCTGTCCAAGGAAAAATCAAGAAGAGCATGTATTCATTCCAACTGCCAAGATAGTGGTGTTTTCTGTTTGGCTTAGAAAATGTTAAATTGTTCGCTATTTCAAATATTTTTCTACCTGTTGTACAGGATCTCTGTTGAGATTATCCAACACAGGCAAAAACAGAGTTTTGGAAATCTCATAACGAATAGTGGTTGCTTCAAGCTCTCCTTGTTGCTGCTGCTGCTGCTGCTGCTGCTGTTGTTGTTGTTGTTGCTGCTGCTGCTGCTGTTGCTGCTGCTGCTGTTGTTGCTGCTGCTGCTGCTGTTGCTGCTGCTGTCCTTGCTCAGGTCTCACTTCTCTCAAGAACAACAATTGCCTGGAAGAAAACAAAACACACCCACATTTATGACTAAATCATAAGAAATGTGGGCTCACCCATTTGAAACACTGCAGGATTGTTCCAGTAAATCAGAAGAAGGTAACTAGAGATAAGAGATAAGCCAAGAAAAATGCACTGCTATTCAAAGACTTGGACTTGTCCTCACATTGGATAAAAGAAACATATTCGAGCCATTTCTATTTGCCATTTTCTAAAAGTTTGTCATTTGAATTTCCAACATTGTAGCATTCATCCCTAAATGTAAGGCTAATGGATTAGATTCCATAGGAAATTGTGACTTTTGTGAGGTTTTTCTGCAAATCAGATTAATTGCCAGGTTATGATCAGTATTATCACACCTAAGATGTTTTTGCCATTGTCAATTAAACAAATATAATCGTTGGCAAAGTCCTTGAGAGCTAATGTTATCCTTCCTCGAATTTAAGGCCGTAAAAATGAAGTTCCTCTTCTTTTATTCTGAAAATGAAAAGTGGTGTAGGCCAAGGTATATTTGCTGGATTGGTTTCCATTTCCATGCAGCCCTGGATTTGCTGGTAGATTACTGGAGTTTAGTGCAGAATGGAGAAGCACAGAGCTATTGAAGGTCCATTCTAAACTTAGAAATGCCTTTCAATGCATGGAGAAGGTGGACTAAAACAGGGGTCTGCAGCCTATGCTGGCTGAGGAATTCTGGGAGCTGAAGTCCACAAGTCTTAAAGTTGTCAAGGTTGCAGACCCTGGACTAAAAGGCAAAGGAGACTGAACATACTGCAAAATAGTTTTTTTGATGTTGCTACTTACTCAGCTTTCATATATCCAGTACTACCTTCTCCGTCTAGAGGAAAGTCATATATTTGTTCAGCCTTGGCTTGAGTGATCAGATCTCCGTTACCGTCACGCTTCACTTTGGTGACTATGGCAGACGCGCCTTGAACAAATTTCTCCCTCTAAACAACAAAAAGAGACATAGTTCATGAGTCCAGGTCCAGATCAGAACTGTAACCTAGGAAAAATGGGGGACTCACCTCCCCTCATGTCCCAGTTCAGGATCTCATATTTGTAGTATGCAGAAGGAAAGACCTCCATTAAAGCTAAGAGAAAATATAGAGCCCTCTTACTTGTAAGCAGTTGAGAGGCTTGAAAAGCTGGAGGTAGGGGATTCCAACATTCAGCATAACCTTTTGTTTGCAGTTGTTCAGGTCCCTGAATTTGTGAATCATGTAGCCGTCATTCTTTTTCTCCTCATAGAAAACATATCTGGTGTTGCACTCGCCTTCAAGTCCTTCCTGTCAATATTGAGAAACTCAGTTTGTACAAGAACATGGAAACTCACATTCCCAATGAGAGTCAAAGGAAGGGATTTGCAGCAGGTTTAAATAAAATTAGGTGCATTAAAAATGGCTACACCTTAGGGGCATCATTTTTTCCCTCCTTTATCTGTTCTTTTACATTCTATTCATTTACTGACATTTTTCAAAAGCTAGCAGGAAATAGAAAAGAAGCCCTTGGGCATGAATAGCCACATATTTTAGGGAGAATAGCAATTGATACCTAAACCAATTGGTTCAAATCCTACCATCTAGAAGTCACTATTTCCTTATTCAGAAAAAAGGGTAAGGAAAGTAGAAAATTAAAAGAGCAGTCTAATATGCTTTGAAATCACATTGGTCAGGAAGGTAGGAGACATTCAATTCTTCATATGTTAATAGATTCGAAACACTGTCAACTTTGGACAATATGCCACAGATGTTTTTTAGCCTAATGTAAATTGTGAAGAAAGGAGGTATTCTACTGCAGTAAAGTAAAGCCTGGAAAGATGAAAAAAATATGAAAAGAAGCCTAACCTCCAGTACTTCAAACTCTCTCTGGTACCGTGCTGTGTAAACGAACAAGTACATGAAGCCTTTGTAAACATTCCTGCAAAGTGGATCTGCATTCTTTGATATACGGATGGAGCCAAATCTCCCATTGTAGGTGACATAGACTATAAACTTCTGACAGTCAAGGAGCTGTTTAAATTCCCTTCGTGGGTCTGACAAGGAACTTTTTGGGTGGTATCCAACAGCATCTTGTAATCTCATATTCCTAAACTAAAAACAAAATGGAGGGTGGAAAGCATGAAAAGAAGCAATTGTTAAGTTTTGTAGGTACCAGTAAGAGAGATTAAAAATTGTTCATTTGGAAGGGGTAGTGCTTTTTCCCCCCATTACAAAATGTATTTTAAATACAAATAGGAAGCAAATAAAAAATGCACTAATATTATTTTACTGAGCTGCTATTCTCCCCGCTTTTTTAAAAAAAGAAAGACGATTTCTGCACTAGCCAATCACAGTAACATTCAACCGTAAAAAGCCTGTTCCTGTTAATAATTAATTGTCATAGTGATGTAAACCAGCAGAGCCTCTTATCCGATTTACAATTGACCTCATGCCTACTGTTCTCATGATGCCATGGGAAGATACTGATGTACTGACGAGTACTTCCTCCCATTGACCAATAAGGGAGTATAATTGTCCATCAAACAGCATCTCACACCTGTCATGATTTCATATGGCACTAGTTTTTGCAGTGTGGAAAAGAAAATTATCATTCACTGGGAGGAAGAGCTGCAAAATCACCTAGATCTATTTTCAAAAGGCTAACGAAGTGGTGTCATGTCCCCAGGTCATCTCTATCCCAGTGGGAAGAAGAGCAGGAGACAAGACATACAAAAATTCCAGGCCACAGGAAGCTGCTTGCTCCCTAGCTTCAGCTTTAGTATTGCGGTTATTCTGCAATATTTCCCACTGCATAAAGACCCAGAGCACCAACACCCACAGAAGTAACGTCAGGTCCATCCTAGTTCAGCAGCTATTTGAAACACCTTCACTAACTACATTTTAGTTTGTGGAACACAAATTTAAAATTCCATTATGTCTCAGTTTTATAATCACACTTGTTCTTAGGAGTATAATGTACTTATGAATGAATAGTTTAAGATTGCTTGAATTTTTAACTGCAGACAAAGTATTGAAGCTTAAGTATCATTTTTCCCTTAGCCTATTGTACAGAAAATGTTAGGTCTAAGAATGAATGTACATTACTGTACAGTATCAAGTAAACATTCTTCTCTCTATGGAGTCTGTTTTATCTGCTTGCTATGGAGTTATTTGCACCTTTCCAATGTGAAGCCTACTTTACTCGCTGAGAAGCCAAAACAAAGCTGGCAATCTCTTTGCATTTTGTGATACAAAGCTTAGCTCTTTGTATCAATCTGTGGTCCATATATGTGAATATTTCTTGCATGAATGTACAGTATAGTTTCCCTTCAACTGAATGGGCTTAAGGGTGACTGAAAGGAACTTTATCCTTAGAGGAAAAGCTTACCTGAATCATATGCTCTGATGGACCTGGTGTGATCACTGCATCAGTTGCTAGCCTTAGAAGGGCCTTTCCATAACCTTGGTCTTCAACTCCACTTTCAAACGTGACGCTGTAATTGTATATCAATGTTTTTCCAGCAGGAAATTCTGGTTCTAGAAATAGAAACAAACATTTATGCTGTGTTCAATAAAGAAGACATTTATATTAGGCTACAGGTTTTAACTGAGTAAATTCCATGATTATTAAACTAACACTAATGGGACAATTGTAGGATATTTTCATTAAAGCCTTACTGTTTATATATGACAATTTGGGGCCTCTTTATGAGTTGCTGTGCAAATCACAAAAGGGAACAAAAAGAATGTATTCCATTTGAGCAGATTGCTATTAATTTTGTGCATTGAATAATCATTTACCTGTATTTTTCAAAAAAGAACCCCAAAATATAGATCAATATTATATAATTTTGACCACTAAGTAAGATTTAAATGAAGAATTTATTTTTTACGACTCATGTGTCTTACCCAAAACAGCTAATGCTCTTTCCTTTACCCAGCAGTGACAGCCAAAATGTCATTTTAATATGCTGATATAAATATAAATACAAATATACTTACTGATGTCAACATTTTCAGTTCCTAGATTAAAAAAAAGGAAAATTGTTGAGTTCGATAGTAGAATAAAACAATAGAATATACATTCTCTTATTTAAAATATCCAAATGAGAATTGCAATGTTATGTTTTATTATACGATCATCTTCTAACACAAGTATACTGATGAGTTGTCTTATTATCATTAGACTTACCAGGTTCAGGATTCTGGGTTTCTGTTGGACACAAATGCAATATTTAGTGAATATAATAACATTCTGAACTACTTTTATTGTAAAAAATATACAAGTGGGAATTGCAACATAGTTCTACTGGTCTGTTCAAGATTCCAGTCTCCTAGGGACCCCCTCTTTCAGGATATTTTACCTCCCACTATTTCCAAGTTTTTTGTCATCCAAACGTCAAGTTGTCTGACTATGTCTTATCTTTCCCTCTCCTACACAAATTGTGTGGCGTTTTCCCTTTGGCAGGAATAGGTCTTTCTGCAAATCATGGCAGTCCTTTGATACCATCCTTATCTTTTTTAGTGCTCCACACAGTCTCTGTCTCACCACCAGCCATTCGTTTTTAAGAGTGATTACATAAACCACATTCTGGGCAGTATATTCATATTTGTACCAGGAAAACACTTTAGTAACAATGTTGCCAAGTGCAGAAAATCACGAGTCTATGCAGTTCAAATGCATATATAGGTTTATTGCAAGCTTAAGCTCTCTACAAGAATCTGAACTACTAACAGTCAAAGCATATTAGCAGTAGATAAGAGTCAATGGAATTTAAGGTGAGCTGGACTTAGATCTCCTGTGAGTATGAAGGGATTCAAGACCGATGATATGTTTTATCCCTCTCTCAGGCTCATCCTGGTCATCTCCTACAAATGCTAATCCATTGCTTACATACTGTAAAGGCTAAATCATTAGCCAGACTCATTACTAAATTAACTAAAGTACTTGAAAACCAGGGAGGCCATTTTAAATTTTCAAGGTTCTCATTTAAGAGTACACCTGTTTTGATGTATCATTGTTTCCTTTAAACAGTGAACTGTTGCATATTAAATCACATCTGTTTCATGCTTCCCTTAGCAAGTAAAAAAGTAATTATATAATGCCTTGACTTTAAATGTGATGGTCCTTAAATGAGTATCAATTGATTAATTAACAGTTTTGTTTAATGTCATTTCAACAAGAGCTTAGGCTTGTTGTAATTGTTCAGCTTACTTGCTTGGGGCTTCTGGTTTCCTGGTAGAAAGAAAATGAACACATTATAATGTTAGTTTTAACAGTATAGCATATGTTTTATATGTAAAATATATTTGCAAAAAAAATCCTATATTGTATGCTGCTTAATGATAAAAAGTTGTTAATCCCACCAGAGTTCTCCAAGGCTGACAAGTTTCCACAAAGACTACTAAAATGTTCCATTTACAACCATTGCCTTTAATAAATACATAATAATCAGACTGACGTGTTTTAATTGTATAATTTGCTAAATAATTACATTGAAGTATAAGATAATCAGGCAGGTTTTTTTAATTAGCAGAATTGCAAATAAAGAGCACACTTCCTCCCCCAAGACTGACTGGTAGGAAGATTTTTCTCTCCTGCCGACAATCTGCTGATATTGCTGCCAAAACTGGTTCCTTGGCAGCATTGCTCCCTGGATTTAAATGGGGGCACTTAGGAATGACCCAACGTGAGTTTTGGATGGCCATGGATCCATCCAGGAGGAAACATCCAAGAAGTCACTGGTCTTTCATGCACCTTTTCTTCTTAGCATCTATTCTCTCTGTTTTTTTACTGCACTTTTTGAAGTTTTTGTTTTGCTTTGTTTTTTATCTTTAAAAGTTAACTGACTGGTTGAATGCTGATTTATTCAACCCACTGCTGGGTTTTATCTGGGTTTTTGTTTTTTTTTGCTTTTTGCTGTTTATGTATCTGGCTGTTTTCATTAATTCCTGCTTTTTCATAAGGAAAATCACAGTGTGTTCCTGGACAGTAAAAGCGCTTTTATTTGATTTACATTTTTATTGGATATTATCTTTTTTATCATTGTTTTTCCGGTTAACTATTTTGTCATTAATATAGTATATAGATGACAGGTTAATAACTTGCAAATAGAATTACTAGTATAGTAGTTTAAAATTCTTTAGGAATGTTTCTCAAGGGATGGGAAACTAATATTGTTTTGTTTCTTTCTTTGTTTCTTCAAAAAAATTGTCTTTTTATTTATTTTTTAATAAAAATAAATTTAAAAAAATAAAGAGCATACTTCTGTGTGCTTGAGTCTCCTTAAATTCTTGTCTAAGGACATGGAACAAAACTAGCTAATGGTTTTGACATATGAACTGACAATTGAATGACATGCAAGTCATTATAAATGTATAGAAGTTATTTTTATTTAACATGTACCTTCTAAAGGTTTTATTTTATATTATGTTAATGAAAATGTTTTATTTTTTTCAAGTGTTAATTCTATATTTGTACTGCACTTGATTATAACATTGTATATAAGGCTACAACTATTCATTCAAATTGATCAAAGCACATAACTTCTCTTTTGACTTACTGATTATTGATTATATTTAATATACTATTCTAGTGGCTCACAATGTTAGAGAAATATCTTGCAGAAGGATTATTGCTATTTTGCTAATGTGACAAGATAATAGTCCTACTCTTTGTAATATTTAATAGCAAGCACTAGCAGACTTGTGACTTATCTGCAAAAGCTAGTACATCACCCCTTTTTCAATGGTGGAAAAAATGTTGGTTCAAAAAACATGCATGGTATGAATCAGAAATAATATAAGATATATATATATATAATGTTAAACTTACGGGCTGGGAACTTCTCGGCAGCTGAGGAAAGAAATTCAAGAGATTACAATATGGACATAGTACGATGGAATCATCTTTTAGTTTAAATATATATATTTGACTAAACTACGCAAAATGTTACAATGGAGACATAGTAAAAAGAAAAGCATACTTACCCACAAGGGCCACTAGAAGAATTATGACGATTCCCTTCATGGTGAAGGTGAATGGAAACTCTCACCCAACTTGGGTATTTTATAGAGAGATGGGAAGCATCATGTGATCTGTGTCAACCAAGATTTTGCTGATTGCACATTTTTTAATCAGTTTCAGCAAACTTTTTTTTTGGACTACTGAACTGATCCTACTTTTAATCCTGGAGAGAAAAGAATCCTTTTTTTCCTCTCTTTTCCCATAAATATGCCCATATTTAAAGTTCACCATACATATATTGCTATGCTATTTTTGAATGTCATCAAATATGTCGTAAAAATATTTTTTTAAAGAGGGTTTATTTCCATTTTTTGCTTCTGGCTGATGGCCATTTGGGCAGTATTTTAGGGAATGAAAACTTTGCCCGGGTTATTTTGACCTAATGTATGATGCAAATATTTACTTAACAGATCATTGTGGGGAAAAGACACTGGTATCTTGCATAACATATGTAAGGTTAGTTGATGTATGAGGTTTTTTTCTTGTACAGGACAGTGCAATCCTATATGTCTTTTCTCTGAAGTAAGTCTCATGTATCTAGTGTATACATATAGAGAAATCCTATACAGGTAGTCCTCAACTTATAACCAAAATAAAGCCCAAAATTTCTGTTGCTAAGACAGTTGTGAAGTGAGTTTTGCTCCATTTTATGACCTTTCTTGCCACATTTGTTCAGTGAATCACTGCAGTTGTTAAGTTAGTAACACAGTTGTAAAGTGAATCTGGGCTTCCCCATTGGCTTTGCTTGTCAGACTGTCACAAAAGATAATCCCATGACCCAGGGATACTGTAGCCATCAAAAATATGAAGCAGTTGCCAAGAGCCCAAATGTTTATCACGTGACCATGGGGATGCTGCAGTGGCTTTATGGGTGAAAGAGGGCCATAAGTCACTTTTCCAGTGCTGTTTTAATTTTGAATGGTCACTAAACGAATGGTTGTAAGTCAAGGACTACCTGTGAAGGGGAAGATAGTGAAACAATACAGTAGATTCCCTAAAGTTAGCAGAATTTTCCTTTGCTGAATTTCACTACAGTAGTGGGAAACATTTTGTCACCTCTAATGTAGCTAAGGGACCTCTCCAGAATAGGCAGCGGGGCCATGAGACCTGCAGACAAGATTGCCTATCCTCAAAGGCTTAATTGTGAAAATTCCAGTGAGAAATACCCAGAGAAACACCAGCTGCAGTAACATTTTTCAGCTACAACAGCACTGCTAGGATAAATCAAACCTACGTTCATTCATGATGGACCTAACTATTGATAAAAAGCATCACTTTTATTTTATGAGTCCTGTATCTGCCATGCATCTGTTCATGTATGTGCAGTCAGCTTGTCTGAACTATAGCCACATGGCACCACACTACCACCCCTTTAGGCCTTCTTTCTGAACCTAAACCTTTTTTAAAAAGTCATTTATTTGTCTGTAACTGAGTCATTGTATTTGCTCTTAAAATTACATTTTTAGAAAGATCCAACAATCTGATCCAACAGTGGTATGATAATGTTATCGTGATGGGGATTTCCCAGTTCTACAGTAATTCATTGCATCTAACCTATTAATTAATTGCATCTACGTGTAAGATCACAAAAGACATTCTCACAATACTTTTGTATTCATTACTGTTGATTCCTAGATGTCGTGATCATATGTTAATAGCATCAAAATACAGGCAACTTTTGAAATTGAGTTCCAAGTTATCAAACTAAAAACTCAGCCAACCATTAAAAAAAACAAACATTGAGAGCCTGGAAATATTTAGCACTGGAAAAGGGATCTATTAGATCTTAAATTAGTAAAGGAGAGAGAGAAAAGAAGATCGTGATATACAGATATTCTGGAAGGATGTTGTTGTTGTTATCCTTCATTTGGTAACTTTCAGACAACTAGAGAAAACCAGGATTAAGAGTTGTTATACTGGGAAGGGCTTCCGGTGGCAGGCGATTTCGCTGGTCGCAGCTGTTTGCTGCCTCCCGCCTGTTTTGCGTAAAAGCCGGTTTGACAGCCAGCATCAGCTGTCCAACGGCTTGATACCTTTCCCCTGGGCATAAGGGGATAGGTGAGCTGCCCGGGGTAGGAGTTGAGTTCCCGAGTCGTCCTATATGGACGATGTAGGCGAGAACTCCTCCGGAGCCCCGAGGATTCTCCGCGATCCAGGACGCCTTCGCTTCGGCGAAGCAAGAAGCCGCCGCCACCGCTGCAACTTGAAGTTAATTGTGA